ATTATAATTATATAATTTTTATAATAGAGGCCTTCTTAAGCGACCTCCGTATAGAATAAAGGAAGTTAAATTTAAATAATAATAAATAAAAAAAGTAATAAATTAAAAAAAAATAATATTTTGACAATTAAATTATTGTATTAATATTCGTTCGTTAATACAATCAATATAATATAACAAAAACTTCATTATAGCACTATAACTAAGCCATTTATGAGTACTGAGTGGCGTGGTAGGTAGAGGGCTGAAGGCACCTACGCCAGTAGCGCTTTTCTGCCGCTTAAGTAGATTTTCTACGGAATTACTTCAAATATTTTAAAACGTAATCAATGTTTTAGAAAGAGAAATGTATTCCCCAGATGTTTTATTTCGGCACGTTTTGCATTATTGTTGACCGCTTAATTACAAACGACGCTTGATTTTCAACTTAAAAATTTTTTTGTAAAAAAAATTTGACTTTACCGATTTTTTTTAATGCCTAAGCCAATTAGTTTTTAATATTTTTTCATGTCTTATTATTCTCTGACTATCCAGATTTAATAAAAGACCAACTATGATGAAATTAAGCCAAATGCTGATTCTCAGTAACAAAAAAACTAACTAAAGTCTAAGTCGTCAATCCGCCATGTTTGGACGCCATTTTGGGGCAGTTCGTTCACTTTTTTTGTGGGAACATTGGCTTTTTTTTTAATAAATTGTCACAAGGAACACAACGATATGAAATTTATAGGGATGTGGTGGGGGGGGGGGAGGGAGTGCAAGGTAAGGGGGTCTGGCCCACAGACTAATAGCATCACAGGAGGATTTGCGGGGGGGACTTTTGGGCTGAAGTCCCCCTCCCCCAAAATGGTACAATGTAACCATATTTTGTGGTAAAAAAATATGTCTTAAAGTATTATTGCTCGTTTAATTACATTTAATAGGTATTCAAGAATCATTTAAACACCATTTCATATAGGTAGTTAGTATCTTTCTGTTTTTCCAAAGTAATTATCGGTATGTATATGAAAAAAAAAAAATCTTCCGGGCTGAAGCTCCCCCAAAATTAAATCCTGGATCCGCTAGTGCATAGCATGAGCTTAATATAATACGGATTCTGACAATATTATGTACATATACATGTACGGTTTTCATAAATGCTATTATTTAATTCTTAATTGTGATATAAAAATAAAAATTTGTATATATAAGAGTAATTAAACAAATAAAAATACCCGCAATGAAACATAAATAAATATAGCGTCTATAATTTTTACTTTCACTTTACCTTTCTGAAACGAACAATAACACTTATTTCTGCTAAGAAGAGAAAGAAAAGGTCGTATGATGCTCGCACCAGATTTTTTTTACTATTTTTGGGTTGATGTTCTTGTCAATCCTCCAAGCTACTCATTCCATTTATCCACAGCAATCTGCAACTTACTACTGGAATGTGCAATCAATCCTCTTCGTAGATGAAACACCAAACCAGAACACTTTTCAGATTCCAGAAGTACGCATTTTCTCTGGGTGTTCTTTATTTGCTCACCTTCCAGACGTAATCCAACACCAAATTAAACATGAGAGGGCTTTAGCGAACTAGAGAATTTTTATTCCCAAGAATAAGCCCAATTTCTTATCTAGACAGTGAAGAAAATATTGCCATCATATCTAGAAATATCTGATGAAAACTATGTCTTCTATTTCAAGCTTTCTAGTTTATCCAATATGGAAAAGGAAACATGCATATTGGTTTATGTCGCATGTTTGATCCCTGGTAATTTCCAATATCACTTGAAATTATGCAGGGAGTTGCTCGATAATGATTAGTGATATTTTTTTTAGGAAAATGGTGACATATTCAATATCTAGTCCACAGTTGGAGAACCTCAAGACCGCATGTGGTCTCCGTGAGCTATCCGCGGCCTCTATTAGGTTTTACATAGTCTTCATCAATCTAGCCCTCAAATTAATTAATATTTAATTATTTCTGTTATCAAATTTTGAAAACTAACAGAAATATGTTGAATATATATTTATGTTTATGGATTTGTGTTTTCCCTTGTTAATAAAAATAGCAACAGGAAAATTTGGCCTCATTAATCACTGCCTAACCTTAATATGGTTTCTAAAGATGAAATGTTTCCACCTATTCTATTACATCGAGTCCACTGCCTTCCAATGATATAATAATTTTCTTAATTCCAACTATTTACTTATTTAGTACAATTTACCTATCTACTACAAGCTCTAGGCAGGATTGATTGACAGGAGGGAGATAGTGAGTAGTAGGCTCATATTCATTGGTCTAATCCTTTTCATCACTGTCCTGTACACACTGAGCAACAACTGCCAAGCACTCACTTTGATATATCGACAACAATGGGATGAGATATGTGGATCTTTTCAATTCCTCCAAATGGATCCATATCTGTACTTATTCAGATAAAATTTCCAAGTGTATACACAGCTTTGGAAGCATGATAGATGCGTCACATTGTTGTTCTTGAGAAATAGTTTGATCAGGATTGTTAATCATAGTTAAGAGGTCATGATGGCCGAGAGCTTTGGAGCGTTTCCCTTTGTAGTACTTCGTGCCTTGTGACACCACTTCGAATTTAGCCTGGGGAGAGTTGACTTGTATTTCATGGCGGACCCATGGAATAGAACTGCACCTTCTCACTCTGGTTAGAATAGGTTTGGTAGTTCCTCTAGAACAATCCTCCCTTCCCTTCTCCTCCACCGGTCTTCCTCCTGTATGCCAGAATTGGTGGGTAGGGGGTAATCCAAAAAAAAAAAAAATGTTAACCATAGTTACCATCCTGACATAAATCAATAGTTTTGTGACCTAAGAAAATTCGGTGTAAACAACAAGAAGATCGTGCTCAAAAGATGCCAACCTCGACCTTAGATTATTTGAAGTTTATGGGTGACATTTACATACTGTTCTCAGTATTTTTATGTTGCTGGAAGGCAATGTAAGGAGGAAATATGAAGTAGAAATAAAGCCATAAATTGCATTTAGTTTGTTCTGTAAAAGAAATCTGTGTTCTACCCTCTAGCCTGTCTCTATCTCTTAATTATACCAAAACACCAAAGGACTGATTGCTGGGTCAGAAATTCTTGACTTAAGGCTCATCCAAATTTTCCGATCCGATGTCTTAAATTTAGCATGAAAAGTATGTAATGTGGACTTTTATCGTCCTAACAAGTGTGATTTAGGAAAATTTAATAGTCTTCTCCATCCAACTAGCTGAAAACAGACTCCTTCCAATTTCATTCCCTGCAAATGCTACAGGCTTCTGGTGCTTCAATATTGACCAGGATTCCAATGATCGATAAAAAGCAAATTAATTTTGACTTCTGTTCTTCTTTATTTATAAATTAATTATCTGTACTTCTTTAGACAAATGCATATAACCTTGTAGCTTTCAAGTACAATTAATGATGATACACAGAGTGCTAATTTAAGATTGGCTTCCATCCAGTAGCTGAAAGTATTAATGTTGCATTCTATCTTTCTTTTACACCAATGGATTCTAACCAAATGGTGTTACATTTTCACTGAATTACTTTACTATTCTCAGGATACAACAAAAACATTCTACATTCTCTTGTGAGAAAATTCTGAGTTCAGTTGTTTCACCATTAGTGAATGGCTACATTTTGTTCATTAGGGCTGTCAGGTTTATAATATTTCTTTTGAATGATTTCAAACTGATTTCGATAACCTTTGGTGCTCATAAATCTAATAGGCCTATTTCAAAAACTAAAAGTTACATGTCAGTAAATTATCTCTAATGCTGCTCCTTCTGGATTAAATGAAGGTTCCAGATTCAATGCATCTAAGACATTTCTTCGTTCTCATTATTATTTGCTTTATTTTCAAACTTTTTATATCCTTATCATTTATTATTTTACCTTAGGGCATGCAAAATTCCTCTAAATTAAAATACTGTTTAAGTAAAAAGACTTAACTTAAACACTTATTTAAATTCTCCAAAAGAGTTTTTATTCTATTGGTTAATAATATTACCGGGGTATAATCCATAGGGTCTCCTGAAATTTGGCTTATTATATCTATCACAAAGATAATTGTAAATGCTCCATTAGTTATAAAGATGATAATTGATTCTGCTTTATGATTATTTTCATCATGTGGACCAGTATTTTTGAAAGTTTCTGTCGCTCTAAAGGACCATGTTACTAGCAGAGCTATTGCTATAATCTGTAATTAAAAGTATTGCTAAAGATTTTGTTTCCAATGATTTTTCATTTAAAATTACCATGTTTTCAAAAGGTCAACGTACCGCTTCAACAACTCTTGGTAATTTATAGTAAGGAATGAATTCAGGTCTGTCTACAGTAGACATAATAAACACATTGAAAAAAAAAAAGTTTTATTGATATAAAAGTACAAATGGTAATTATAATTTATTTGTTATAATACACAACATATGTTTTAATGTATATTGATTTAACCACTAATTTAATATTAAATTTGTTTACATTGTTATCTAGTCAATAATTAATTCATGTTCTATTGCTACAAGAATTGATGTTATTTTTTGTAAACCTACAGAAAACTGGTTTAAATTATAAAGAAAATAAAATGAATTAATTAACTTTATAAAATGTTCTCAATTGCATTTCAAATAGCTATAATGATGTGAAATATTGTTTGAAATTTCTAACAATATTTCACATGTTTTATATAAGTTACATTGATTTGCTATAATTACTTGTAAAACCTTAAAACATGGGTCATACACCTTCAAGGATCTATCATTTTTTTTTTTTTAATCAAATCTGAATCTAACATTTTTATGTGTTTGCGAATTGGCAATTTAGGATCGTTTTTTCTTACATTTTTTCTTTAAAATTTTACCTCTAATACACACATCACATTATTGAATTTAATAAAACCATTACTTGCACAACTGTTACGTATCATAATCTTTATTTGCTCAATATTTGATTTGTTACGTCTTTTTATGCTGTTGAAAAAAAATTAAATAAAATTAAGCAATAGCATGCTTGTGCGCAATATGTATACATGATAAAACTGTATCGAGAAGGTATATAGCAGCACATACTACACTAAGACTGCCTAATGCAAGTCCTATTTGTTTTTCTTGAGAAATTCCCACATAATGGTTTTCATCCTGGAAACCAACCCAGTAATGTAATGCTATGCCTCCTACAGCGGTGAACAATATAGTTCCACTCACATTCATTATTATATCCTGGAAACAATAAGAAACTTTATTTATAGTTTTTATTACAAACAATAAAACTAGTCATTATTTCACTTTTTTTTTTCTCTCTTCCCTAATAACTCTATGTATGGACTATAATTCCATATTTAATAAGTATTCAAATAAAATAAAATAAACATCCTGTACTACTAAAACTCATGAAGGCTCTGGTGCTCAGTACTTTGTAAGCTAGCACAAGGAAAAGGAATGTTCAATTTTTTGGATATCTTGTTTGACTTTACTAGAAATTATATCTATTTGAGATGTGTTGCTGTAATTTGTTTTGAATTTTAATGAATATATATATATATATATATATATATATATATATATATGTAATAAAAAAAAATATATTATAATAATACATGCATGATCATTATCTGACATAATAATATCAATAACAACTAAAAATTTGAAGTGGTTTTCAAAAAAATTTAAACTGCCTTATGTTTGTTTATGTAACCATGAAAAAAAACGAAGAAAAAAAAAACAGAAATTAAATTGTTCTCTGTAAAATCATCCAGGGACCTGACACTAGTCCATGGCAGATTTTAATAAAGATCTGGATATAAGTGGTAAGAAAAAATGCCAAACTTTGCAAAATTTTAACAAGTAATAATTATTGTTATTTGAACTTCAGAGGTCAATTTCAGTTGAAAACAAGCTTTTCTTTTGTATTTTCTAAGTAAAACCAATATTTATTGAGCTAGATGGATCAAAATTTATTAATTGCTCCTAAACTTCACAGACAATTAGATAATACTATAAGTATTGGCATTGTGATTTTTCATCATGGATGTAATTATTCTTAAATATAAAAATAAACACTTTTTTTTCAAAATTATGGTACATGCATCTAGAAATATCTTTTGCTAGAATCTTTCTCCTTATTCTCTGGTCCGACTTAATATTATTGAAAATAGCATGAAATTCTCTATCAAATGTTAAATTAATATTGGTGGGCTTTTGACTCTAAAGAGTTTTATTACAATTTGAATATAATAAATTCAAATTAAATTCGCAAGTTATATATTTATAAAGTAAGACCAAAATATCTTTTCAGATATCTATATAGTACTGCAACAATATTGATGGGATTTTCTATGTCATGAGTTTTATTGCAATATAATTAAATAGTATGTTCAACAAATACCAAGTTTGTCTTTAAAAAATTAAAATGAAAAAATCTTTATTACAGACACTAAAGAGCTCAAATATGTTTAAAATAAAATTAGAACATTATAGCTTAATAATTGACAAGTTGTGTAGTTCTCAAGATGAGGATTAATACCCTGAAACTTTAACAGTTAAACCTGTACTACTTACAACCCATGAAGAGCCTTGTATTCAGTACTATTTCGGGAAAGTACTGTTACTAGGCCAACGACAGAGCATAGAGGAGATCGGGCAATATCGCACTCAACCGCCTGGTTTTCCTCTTAATTAATTATTTTAATTAAGGGTACCCACTTTGTAGAGGCTGGGTGTGCCCTGGGAGGGTCTTGAGTCTCTACCCATGGCCGATGGGACTGAATAAATAATTTTTCTGCCATGAGCTGGTATCGAACCTGGGATCTTGAGTATTGGAAGCTGAGTTCCCTACCACTCAGATACCCCTCTCTATATTGACATTAAATCAATGGGACGTTTTATTGCCTTTATTTTCTCAGAAACATAAAACTATCTTACCAACAAAATTCAAATAATAAAGACTATCATAAAGTCACTTTTTAAGGAATCATAAATTGATTAATATCAATTGAATGAAGTATTAAATTTGTACAAAATCTAACTACTTTTTTTTTACTTATTGATTATGGTTATTTCGAAATTAATGTAATCTTCTGTAGCTGTTATAGTTAAGAAACTTTTAAAAAACAGTTATTTGAGTACATTTTAATAACAAACAATGCTTTTCAAATCCTGCATTTGCAAAGTTCTTGTTTTGTTTTTTTCATTAAAAAAAACAAGATTAATTTTTATTTGTTTAAATATTTATGTTATTTCTCTCCCCCCCCCCAAAAAAAAAAAATATGTAATTTTGTGTCATGATGTCATTTATTGTAAATGGAATCAAAGAGAAGTTGATTTGGGTGTATATCAAGGAAAAAAATTTATAGTATAATTTTTCATTGAATGTGTACTGACATTTCGGTATTATACTCCCTGTGTTTTCTTCTTTGACCTCAACCCCCAATCAATTTCTCTCTGGTTAATTATATTTTTACACATTAAGCATTTAAAAATATATATATATATATATATATAATTAATAACCTAAATTGTAAGATTATATTTTTAAAAATTACATACGCACTCTTCAATAACTTAATTTTTTTTTCTTAAACTTAATAAATAATATAACTTGGTTTTTAGTATATATTATATATTTTTACTTACTACTGCACTATATTTGTGCTTTGTTGTTCCAAAGCAGTATGAAATTAAGATAACTGATGTGTAGATGAAAAATCCCACAAAAACTCCAGATGCAATAATTTCAGCATCAGCACTTTTTACTTCATACAAGTTCCACGTTCCACCTACTCCCAGAAATCCTTGTTTCCCGCCATAACGGTAGAGCATAAGAATGATAAAATTAATTACCTGGAATATAAAAATTGCTTTATTTTAGATTTCAAAAATATTAAGATTATTGCTGTCTTCAATAAGTTTAATGCACTCATTTAGAACAATTCTAAAGTAATACTTACAAGTTTTAAAACTTTAATAAATATTGTTGCAATAGTTTGGATGTCCATGTTAATACTTTTTTTCACCTCACAAAAATGAAACAATAATCTGTTACAGAGATAATACTATCTTATCAGTTTATTTAATTTGTGAGATTACTCATTTTCCCATCGTGCCACACCTTGATTTTACATTCTTTGCAATGAGCAACCTGAAGTTTGGAGAACAGTTGTTTTTTTTCTCATGAAACTCGTAAATGAGTAATACCATTTATGATGTAATACAATTTAATAATGCTAAATCAACATAAAATTTAATTCATGATTAATGAAGTTTGTGAATCATATACTAATATTACTTATTCCCCTAAAGTGGTATTTACAAATTAGAAATTATGATAATGACAAATAAGCCAAAAAAAAATTAAATCAATTAATTAATCATTTTTATTTATTAATACAAATACAAAATTTTTACATTGTGTAAATAAGGTTTAAAGTCTAAGATTTTGTATACTACACGTCAACAGTGCAATAGGTCTAAAATGTATAAAATAAAAAGATCTATCATCATTAAATGGATTTATCAATCTGAATATTATTAATTTTTGAATGATACAGATTGTTAAATTCTAAACAATTAATTTGTTTAATTTTATTTATTAAAATGATATTTTAGTGCTTATCTTAAAACATAAGTTATTGGTCTAAATATTGATTTTTATATCACATAATTAAACAATGTTTCACATTATAAAGATAAATTTAAAGATTTCTTAAAATGACATAATTAATTTTTAAAATTATATTGTAGTTGTTTAAATTTTAGATAAAAATAATAAGTATTTCTCGAAGATGTTTTTTGTCTTTACACCATATCTTCATTAATTTTTTTATCCAATGACCGAACCATGGTTTTGAAGATCACCTCCTCCAGATGAGGAAAATTAAATAAATACCCCCAGAAAAGTCAGGAAAAAGAGTTATGAAGAATAGCAAACTTTATTTGCATATAGGACTCAAAAAGTATACAATTTTAGCTTGATTATAGATTTGATTAATGACCTATATGTTATCTAAATCATGGCGATTAAACAATTCAAGTTCTTTAAATTCAATAGATTATTCTTGTCCAGAGAAATTATATTGATTTAAACAAATTAAATATAATTCTCCTCCCCTTTCTCCTAAAAAGATTTTAAAACAAATGAATTTTTGATGAAAAATACAAATAATTTTTTTTTATTTATTTATTTCTTTTTTCAATTTCCATATCCAAAATGGGGATCATATTTTGAAATTTAAATAAACAGTTTAACTTATCTTTTATATTTTTTACTTAACATCAATCATCTGAAGAGACTGTTTTTTTCAATCAGTGAAAAATACATGATAAGAAAAATGGTTTTGTTTATTAAAAAAAGAAAAATGTTAAGCCATATATCTGTGAAACTGTTATGACTGATTTACCGATTTAGGTTTAATAGCCTCTGTGTCTGAAAATACTTAATTAAATTGATAAAATTTTCATTTTAAAGTAGGTATTGTTTTGAAACTCAAAAACAAAATTGGTCTATCAGATGTATTTAAGCTATAAGCTGTAATAACTCTCAGAATGTGCTATATAAAATTGCACATTATTAAGAAGAATAAAATTGGACATCATTAAAAAGAATTTTAATAATGCCTACTTTTATATTATTGAATAGGAAATAAATGTTTTATAGAAACTAAATGGAGTTTCCATAGAAAAGATAAGAAAAACTATAATTTTTTTTTTCAGTTTATTAAACTAAATTTGTGCACAGATTGTTGCAGCAGAATTGTCATAATTTTTATTAATTCTTTTAAATATGTGTTTATAATCTATTCTATCCTTTTTTAAAATTATAATTTAAAATTATTTATTTATTTGTGTTTATTGTTGCCTCTACCCTGAAAGGTCATTGGCAACACCTTTTGCTTATACTCAGTTATAGAATTTTATAATTTTTAAGAATTTCAAGGTTTTTTCCATGGCTTTTTAATTGTCAATGAAGTTTTATTTTAGGCTCTAAGCCATATCCAATTTTTTCTTATATTTTTAAATATAGGGCAGTCTTGGATGATATGTTGGACTGTTCTTTGCCCCTTGCAACTCTCGCACGTTTGTGGTCTCCTCAGTCCGCTTTTTCTTTTGTTTGTTTTTGTGGCAAAAATGCACTGCGGCCATGAAAGCCTGTTGTATGCCTCTGTAAAAGTCACTCCTATTAAAGTGTAATTCCTGCAGTCTCGATAAACTGAAATATTCGGCACAGGACTGTCTCTTCTTACCTAGAAAGTCGGTTACAGGTTTTCCATTTGGAACAGTGGCTTTTTATTTCTTTTAATTAGCTTTATTGTTTGCCATCTGTTCTGCTACATTTTCCAGATTTAAAACTAGTAATATCTTTAGTTCTGTTTAGTTCAGTCAAATTTATTAGATTGCTGATGACTTGATAGTTAATGATACTTTTAATTCATAAGACACTAAAAACTTTGTTCATAAAACGTTTCTTCATATTTTCAATATTTAACCATTCATTTTTTTTTTTTTTTCAGGAATTAGGATTGCAGATAACAAAAGAACAAATTGGTGAATTAGAAGCAAATTTGGAAAACCTTGATCTGAAAGCTGCAGAGGAAGAAGAAAAATTGACCAGGCATGATGTTATGGCTCATGTTCATGTTTATGCTCGCTCATGTAAAACTGCGGCACCTATCATTCATCTTGGAGCAACATCTTGTTATGTTGGAGATAATACTGTAATTACACCTTTATAACCTCTTTTTTTTTTTTGTATGATTGATCAAATAACATTTTTATAAGTTTCATCTATTTTTCAGGATTTAATAACAATACGTGATGGTCTTGATATTCTCTTGCCTAAGCTTGCTACATGCATTAATCGTTTAGCAAATTTTGCTGAACAATATAAATGCCTGCCTACATTAGGTTTTACTCATTTACAGTAAGTTTAAATTTCATATGAATATTTAGGCATGATTTTATTATAACGAGAAAAAAATTAAATATCTTTGTGGAATTATTAATTATTCAATAAATTTATTTCTATTAAATACATATTTTTTTATTGAATAATAAATAAAGTAATGCATGCTAATCGGTTTTTGTGTTTTTTTTTTTTTTGGTTTATTATTTTCAATAATCGTCAAAAACGGTTATTATTTTCATTGTAATCGTCAAAAACTTAACTCCCTGAAAATTTGAAGTTTTACATTTCAGGATACGTATAACTATCATTAAAAATAATTGGGTTTTGAAGATTTTGATGTGTACAGTTCCTTTGGAACTATCGGGCCCTGCGTTTTTAAGCCCAAAAACGTTCTATTTTCGAGATAATGCAAGGCATAGTAGTGTTCGCATTCACACAACCTTACGTTAATTGTAGTACTGTCATTGACTACATGTCTCATTTCGTCGACTTGAGGTCCCTATGATCGAGAGAGGAGGAGTTTATATTATTTATCGATGGTGTTTTTAATCGGCAAGTCACATCATTGTTAATTCTTCACCAAATCTCAAGATTGAGCCACCAATTTTGAAGGCTTCCTTCTCCTTCAGGTGGGCAAAGTAGTCCAATCATCCTGAAAATTCAGGGAAACAAGTTATGAAAGAAACTTTATTTGCAAATAACCAAAAAATTATGCACTTTTCCCTTGGTTATGTCCATTATTATATAAAAGATTACTAAATTCCCTAAAAAAAGAAAACAAATAATTATCAAAATCGGGAAATTTTTTGCTCCAAACATTAATGAAGTTTTAAATTAATTTTTGTTTTCTTTGTCGATTATATTTATCGATTGAGTAACAATTGATTTCTTTATCTTATGATACGTTGCATTATTTTATTTTCTTATTAATTTAGCATTTGATCACTTGACAATATGCTGTGCTTAACAATATTTTTTACACGGGCCTACTTGTAAAATAAAAATTCTTCTTATTCTGGAGACGAAAAAACAATAGGAGCATTAAAGTAATAATAATGCTTCTCAATTTTAGGAATAGATGTATATTACCAAAAAAATTTTAATTTAAAAAGAATTTATTTCTCATATTTAGAATTATACTTCTAAATTCTCATTTCTATCTATTAAATGTTTTTTTCCAGTTTTCATAAAAAAAAATTATTGAACTGATCAACAAAACTTTTTTCTGTTATATAAACCACTAGGAATTTTTAATTTCAACCTACCTTACCTATCTTAAAACAAAATGTCAGATTTTATGTAATAAATTAATAATTATATATAAAACTTACTTTACATATAAATTATGTTAATATTATTTTAACCATAAACAAATTCATTCTTTTTAGACCTGCACAATTAACCACAGTGGGTAAACGTGCTTGCCTGTGGATCCAAGATTTTCTCATGGATGAAAGAGCTTTGTCGAGGGCAAAATCAGATCTTAGATTCCGTGGAGTCAAGGGTACTACTGGAACACAAGCATCATTTTTGACCCTTTTTGATGGTTTGTTAATATACTATATTATTTTCATAAGATTTATTTTTATTATTTGTTGGTTAATTTACATAAACATGAATTTATTTCAGGTGATGAAACCAAAGTTATACAATTAGATAAACTGGTCACTAAAATGGCTGGCTTTGATTCCACATTTTCAGTATGCGGCCAAACCTACCCACGTAAACTTGATGTTGAAATTGTTGCTGCACTCAGTGGACTTGGAGCTACGGCTCATAAAGTAATTTTAAAACAATCTATTTATTTAAACATTGCTATATCTTGCTTTATTTTTAATAAATTCTGGGATAAATCACCAGCACTTTCCTCCATAATATTGTCGCTTGGGAATGATGTTTGATATATTTTTGATAAGAAAACACATTTTTGGAATTCATGAGTAATTCAAAGTTTGGATTAAGCATGGGTACAATCTTCTGGAAAAATTGAGATTAGGGGATGAAATGGTATTCTGAAATTTTTTAATGATTCATGTGGATTTGGAATATTTGAAATGTTTGGTCCATCTATTTCAAAAAGAGAGGTCAATTTTAGAGTGCTAATTGATTAATGAGTTAAATTAAATAATCCGGATAATCTATGGTGAAACGAACCGGATATAGCAAAACTCATTCTATTCCAAAGATTATGGTGAAGATGGGTGAAGATTCCATCCAAAAAAAAATGACTTTCTTGAAGAATACATGAATACAGATGTAAAGAATGACTAGAAATGCATTAATGGGGAATTAAAATTTCATTGCACAGATCCTGGGAACATGGTATAGATTGATTCAAAAGATCTTGCCTCAGCAAAGAGTTTTTGCACCATGGATAGTTAAATATTATTAATTAGATTATAGAATTAATTAGTCATTCAGCTAATTTAGTTTTGGAATAGGTAGCCCAAATGTTTGTTTTGAAAACAGTAGAAAACAAAAAAGCAATTTAAAAAGGATGGATAAGGCCAGGTAACAATCACTAATAATTAATTGTATAATACCAGAATCTTAGTTTCCTTCTCAACCTTTTTTGAAATATTTTTTATTAATAATTGTAATAATTCAAATGAAGCTTTCTAATTATATCAAGGTAAAAAAAAGTTGTTTTTTATTGACTTGGTTTCGGCTTTTACTATTACAAACTAACATGTGACAACCAAAAAATCAAAGTCTTTGAATTAAATTAGTAATTAATTGAAAAAATAACTGGCGATCCGATACCATTTAAAATTCTTTCATATTATTAACTAACCAACACATATTCAATACTAATATGTAACTCAACTAATTGATAGTTATTCACTTCTAACATGGACCTTCAATAATTATTATGATTTAACAATTGTTATTTATTCAGATGTGTACCGACCTAAGGATATTGGCAAACATGAAGGAAATTGAAGAACCTTTTGAAAAATCGCAAATAGGATCAAGTGCTATGGCTTACAAGAGAAATCCTATGAGAAGTGAAAGGTGCTGTGCGCTATCCCGACATCTCATCACTCTTTATAACAACGCTGCCAATACAGCAGCAGTGCAATGGTTCGAAAGAACTCTTGATGATAGTGCCAATAGGTATTATTGATTTTTATTTTATGAGGGAATTTATTTAAATGTATTCATTACATGTTAAGAAATTCAACAATATTTATAAAATATCTCTTTTCCGGCTCTCAGGAGCGATGGATTTTGTCGAATGAAGTATCAAACATAAGAGAATTTCAGGGAGAAGTGTCGAATCTCAATTTTGATCCTTAAATTCCTTTAACAACTTTAATAAAGGTAATTGAAAAAATTGGGAGATTTTAAAGCTCAGATGGTTTGAAAGTCAAATCAAGACAGGATAAATTGTGGTTTAAAGATTTCGACATAATCATCGAGAACCAATAATGTCCTGTTTTTGAGATGAATTATAATTCTTGCCGAATGCCTGTTAGGTACTATTGTTGCCATGGGATACTTATCACGTGTTTAAGTTTTTATTATTATAAAACATCACTTTTTATGTTCGCCACCCACGAAATAAAATCAATGAAAAGATATAGCAAGGAGGAGAATAGATCAGTGATCTCTTGGGCACTTTGGATAATATCGAAAGAAACTTTTTGATATTTTTAATAAATTAAAAAAAATATATCCTGTTATGACTTCTATACTCCTAGTGTGAGAATTACTGACCAAAGCTCTTCTGCACTAAACAAATAGGTCTTGAGCGAGTAGAGTAATGAATTGGTACAAGTTCAGGGATAGCTGTGTCGATTACCGTCTCAATAAAAATACTAAAGGGGCGAGAATATTATTTGACTCCTCCCCAATATTTTGATGTACAAAAATAAATCAATAACAATTAATCTACAATAAAAGTCCACTAGATGGCTAAGCAAGGTCTAAAAGTATTTTACCACGGCCTATATTCCTGTTATTGAAATTTTAGTTTATATTACAGAGTTAATTATAAGTAGCAATATATGCTAGGATTTTATGATTCATTCATGTGGACTCTCCTGTTTTTATGTGAAGATTTTATCTTTAGAGTTTATTTTAAAGTTTATCTCACTACCTCAAAAAAAAAAAAAAAAAAAAATGCTAATATATAAACTTATATATGTATATAAGTTTATTTTTATATCTAGTATTATATTGTTCGGTTTACAATAATTATGTTGATCATGATAATTATCACTAATAATTTTTATGATTGATTATAAGAAATTATCTTTAATATTGGACATTTGAACTGAAATTAAGCCATCTCTGGAAGCTAATACTCTTTGAAAATTTTATTTAAGAGGATTAGGAATCTACTCGAATCTATAAAATTGTCAAATCTGAAAATTACCGACTAGCTTAGACACTTATTACGACTCAATATCTTTGTGATTTATCCTCCAGCCACACAATTATCTATAATCACATTTCTTATCTCAGAGTCATACAGATGCTAGCTCTATACTTGTAAATATTTTATTGTCACATATATATAATATATATGAGAGTAAGGTTTTCTCACCCGGTAATTTATTACTGTAGGCTCAACTCTAGCCACCTAAAAGGAACTATAATCATTATTATTATTACAATTGAAATATCATCTATAATCAATTTGTAAAGAGAAACAAACTGCTGAGTGCATAGAAGGGGCCAACTTAGATTGGTTCTTGGAAGCACTTCAGAGCATTCTCTTAGGTCGCCACTAGGTTTATAAAATGTATGACAATCCATCGTATAACTTAGTTCTGGACAATGTTGCACATATTCATGCAACAAAGCATGAAATGGATCAGTTCTTGTTGCACACTTTCAGTGTTCTGCATTTTACTCCTCTGATGGAAGCCATTGGACTATAGTCAATACGCCAGTTAGTTATTGTCAGCTGCTCAATATGTGTTAAGACTAAGATAATTTTTTTATTTAAAATTTAATATTTATTATTCTATTTCTAGGAGAATAACTTTGTCAGAAGCATTTTTATGTGCTGATGCCCTGCTTATTACATTAATGAATGTAGTTGAAGGCCTGGTTGTTTATCCTAAGGTGATTGAAAGGCATATTAATGAGGAACTCCCATTTATGGCTACAGAAAACATAATTATGGCCATGGTTAAGGCTGGAGGAGATAGACAGGTAAATTTATATAATATTTAAAAAATGGAAAGAAAGAGGTTGTGATAGCCAAGTGTGTTGGGGCAGCAGTCCATAACTGTCGAGTCAGAAGCATTACTGAATTTAATCCAACCTAAATGGCTTATTTCTATTTAATGTGGGCCCAAGTAATACAATTATACCATTCTACCCTACGATTGGTGTTTAGTTGTTAAGATTTGGGAAGCTTGTTCGTTAGAGAATGATGGAGGAGGGCATGGTTTGAATCCATAGTAGCTGTATGTGATCAAACGAATCCGAGAAAAAATTTGGCCTGCAAAAATATTTCGCTGGTAGCATGACCTCCACCCCCAACATGTCAAAATAACAATGTTATATAGGCCAAAAAAACTCAATTTATAGGTCACTTTTTTCTTAATTTTGTGATCAAATTATCTTACAATTCAAGTGGAAAGCAAACGAGCATTTATAATTTGTTGGTACCTGAATAAATTGATTAATTTAATGAGAAAATGCCTCGTTTCTGAGAATTTTCATAGATAAAAAAGTTGTAGGTTACAAGATGAAGCTGTTTACGAAGTTTTAGATTGATGTTAATAATTTCATCAAAAGGGCTTTGTATCACAGATTGACCAGAAAATACAAAAAAAAAGTTGAAGCTTGTCAACAATTATTCATTTCCCTCCCCTTTACAACTGCTAAAAAGACTTGGACTAGGTTTTGATGTGAGGAGGGGGGAGGAGAACTGAAATTTTTTTTTTTAGTTTATTGAGAATATCTCAAAAACTATGAAGCTTATCGAAAATATTATTCTATACATCTCTTAAAAAAATTTACATTAAAAAATATAAAATGTGTATTAAAAACATTTATATATTTTTGCTAACTTTTATGGTTATAGAAATATTTAAGAGATTAAATTAATCATTTAGGAATTTCGTAACATTTGTGTAAAGTCTCTATTTTCGATTATAGTATACTCAATAATATATGTTGATGGATTTAACTCATTTCAATAATAATAACTTAAAAATTATTCACGTATAATTTTGCAATTATTTTATTACAGGTTTGCCACGAACGCATACGAGTCCTTTCTCAAGAGGCAGGAGCACAAGTTAAACTCTTAGGGGCTAATAATGACTTGGTTGATCGAATCAAGGCAGATCCATACTTTGAGCCCATACTTTCAAATTTGGAGAATATTTTGGACCCTGCAACATTTATAGGAAGAGCCCCAAATCAGGTAATTTGATAATTAAGAAAAACAACATTATAGTAAGCTGTATTTATGATAATTTTAATTAGAATATCTCATTAATTTGTTAGTTGAGCATTTGCTCTTTAATAGAATAACATTTTTTATCAGACGATCAAACTGCCTATATCGTGTTGGGGTTTCAGTATGTATATATATGTATAACTTTAGTTGTTTATCTAGTTACAATAATGTAACTTTTTTTGGTACTTTTTGTCTAACGTCACGTCACATAACCTCCCTCTTCTTATCTCGCCAAACCTTTGAGTTATTGCATTGTTTAGTTTTCAGTTATTCCCTTATTACGTTCACTTATTAAATTCTTTACTTTTGGCCCGTTTGTGTTTATTTTTCATTATTTTTAGTTTTTGGCCCGTTTGTTTATTTTTCATTTTTTTTTTTTAGTTTGTGGCCCCTTTGTGTTTATTTTTCATTTTTTTTCCATTTATTTTCGTCATATTATGGATCTTCTTAGAATATGAGATTTGCCGTCTTCAGAAGAACAGGCAATTCAATATTTTCAAAATGTTGAGATACTTGCAGACGTGAAATAGTGTGAACGAGGTCATCGAATGAAGTTAACCAGGAACGCCAAATGGAGATGCTGTCGTAGGACTTGTGACACAAAACTTTCAATAAGGAAAGGAACATCGTTGGATGGCTCGAGGATTTTGTTTTTAACAGCTTTGAAGTTGATTTCTGGGTGGTCCCATAGCTTAACAACGATGAAGTGGGGCAAAGAGCAGCTGAAAGTATCCTACGGAGCTATGGTAACGTGGAACAAATGTCTAAGAGAGGTTTGTGCCCATGACATGTTATACAGTCCAAGAAAAAAAATTGGAGGATCTGGCAAAGTGGTTGAAGTTGACAAAGTATGTTTTCTAAACAAAAAAAAATCATGTGTGGAGAGTTTTACCTCAGCAATGGATGCTTGGTGGAGTTTGCCGAGAAACAGATGAATATTTTATCATCAAAATAAATGACAGAAAAGCAACAATCTTATTACAAGCAATTAAAGACTATATAGAAGAGAGAACGACCATTTATTTGGACTGTTGGAAAGGATACAACATCCGACAACTGAACGAAGCAAACTATGACCATTTCCAAGTGAATCACCAGTATATTTTTGCCGATCCATCAACTGGGGTTCATACTCAACACATAGAACTATTGTGGGATTCAGCGAAGTGCAGAAATAAAGTACATAGGGGAACTGCCAGACAACACCTTGATTCATATTTGTGCTAATTTTTGTGGCGGCGGGTTCACAAAGAAGAGGACCCGTTCCTCGCTATTTTAACATAAAGCATAAAACAATTTTGCCTTCCAAAATAAATAAGACAAAGTGAAAATAAATTGTACATATATTGTTTATAGTGTTGATATTTTTTCTTTTCTATATAAATATGTTCTTTAAATGATTTTTTATTATTTCATTTTCATCTTTTATATCTACATATTTTCTTCAAGTGTTTTTTTATTATTTCATTAATATATGTGTCGTAAAATAAAAGTATTTTTTTTGTTATTACATTTGTTTTTGTATCTGTGTACACTTTCAATAATACAAATTATAATAATACGAAGATATGAAGTAGGAGAAAGCTTATCAATGGGTTATGGGAACATTGGCAGATAGCAGTCAGTGCTGGCCCGCTAGACAAAAAGTACCCTTTTTTTTAGTTATTGAGGTTTGCATAGAAAATTTTACAAATAATTTATTCAAATAAAAATATTGTATTACTATTTCAATATATTTGAAAAATATCAATAAATTTATTTTTACTTTGTATTTACATTCCTAATGTAACAGAATAAATAATGACGTGCCACAGCCAGACTCAAACCCCAGACCTTGAGAATTGTAGCACTGTGCCTTACTCGCTCCTTTACACAAATAAGAAATCTTATTTTATTTTCTGTTGACGTTTTGGCCTTAATTTTAGATCGTTGTCAGGTCTAAGTAAGAAAAATCAGGAAGTAAGAAAGACAGTATAACACGTAAATTATTTTTTATTATTTTAGATGCACAGTTTAGATTTGAGCTTATGCTGATGACATAGTGATAGCTGCGCGAAGTGGAAAGGCACTTAAAGAGGCATTTGAGATCATAGAACGAAAATGGCAACAAAGTAGGACTTGTGGTCAATGAAAACAAAACTAAATACCTCAAACTGTCCTCTGCAGCAAGTAGAAGATCCTGCAGTGAAATCAGAATAAAGAATTTTAAGTTTGAAAATGTACCCACATTCATATATCTCGGTTCTGCCCTAAATAATGAAAATGTAATCAGCAGAGAAATAGACAACAGAATAATGGCTGGTAATAGAGCTTACTATATACAAACCTAAAACTTCTCAAGTCTCCATTTTTCTCAAAAGCCACAAAATTAAAGCTGTATAAAACATTTATTATACCAGTAGTCACCTATGGAACGGAAACCTGGTGTCTATCACCAGAGGATTGCCGTAAACTAAATGTATTTGAAAGGTGCTACAAGTGTTAATGGTCAGTGGAAAATCAAAAGTAACTATACCAAGGCAAGTAAACTGAGATTGGCAGGACATGTGGTCAGAATAGAGAATTAACGGGTGCAGAAAAAAATATTGGCAGCGCACTTCAGTGGGAAGAGGAAAAGAGGAAGACTGAGAAGCAGATAGGATGTTTGAAGTTTGCAATTGGAAGAGAGTGGTACAGGACAGAGAGAAGTGGAGAAAAATAACTCAAGAGGCCAAGGGTCATGCTGGCCTGTATCACCGGGGAGTTAGTTAGTTTCTTTAAATGCACATTTATCATTTACAGTCTCATTATCCATATTTTTTATACTATTTTTTTTTCTTGTTATACTGCTTCTCTTACAGGTTACTAGTTTGGAATGTTTTAATTAACGTTGATGATTATTTTATCTTTGACAGCATCACCCATCCCAACTTCTACAATTCATTCTTTAGTCATCAATATCTCCTCTATTATTAATTTATTTTTATTTTTTCAGGTTTCAGAATTTATTTCAGTTGAAGTCAATCCTATTCTATCTAAATACAAAGGAAAAATGATCGACAAACCAGTGGTTTTAAACATATGAAATGTGAAGAGGAGGACAACAATTGTTTTAAAGGAATCTTTTAGAGCTCTATATTCTTATGCTATGAAACATGTATTTTATTTTTATTATAAAAAAAAAAACTTAAAAAATATATATAATAAAATATACGGATAATAAGGAAGTACATATGGTGGTATTAACTACATCACATAAAATGCCATAAATATAGAATATATTGTCAGTTTATTACTAAAACTCACTAAGTGCATTTTTGATGGAGCTGAACTTTTAAGAATGTTTTTGTGAGTTTAGATCTTATTAATTGATTTTTAAAAAAACATGTTAAGTGCACAATTTTCTGATTCTACAAAAGTGAAATTCATCAAAACTCTGAATTATTAAAGGTTAGGAAATGTCACTTAATAACTTTTTGCAATGATCCAAGAATATAATAGTTTAAGTGAAATCTCACTGATGAAGTATGCGAATATTGGAAAAAAGAGTACAGAGGTATATGATATGAATTAAGAAGTTTGTTCTCACATTTATCAATTTGTTCAATTTTTATTTTAACTACTACCATTTCTTGTTCAGTGATAAATAAAAAACAACTTAAGTATTATAATAGAGATTAATGTTAATAAAATATTTTTGGTAAATCAGAAAATGAAAAGGTAAGGAAAATTTAGCTGTTATCAATATAGCCAGATGTTTCTATTTTATTCTATTGAGGAAACCATTTGTAGATAAACTGAATCTTAACCAATCTGACTGTGGCTTCACAGATTCAGAACTTTTTAATTTCAAAGCATCTAAACTACATTTATATAAATTATTAGGAAAAGAAAACTATATTTCTACAACCTATGGAGTGTCTTGGGTTCGGTGTTAAGATTTCCCACTTTACAGAACCTGAATGTGTCCCAGAAGAGTCTCGCAACCTCAGGGTTATTCCCTTAGCAAAATAAATAATTACCTGTCACTCCCATATAAATACCCGAGTTGGGAGAAAATTAACAGAGTTGATACATCTTTATTCTCACCTAACATAAAATGTGACTTTCATTAATCATCATTTTTGTCATTTTAAATGACAAATAATATTTAATCATTATTAATGATTAATATTTTAAATGTACCAGTTATAAATTAATAAAATTTAGAATAATATATCAAATTTCATATTAAATGGAAGCATTTTTTTTTTGTCTTTTTTACCTAAAAATGAATATTCATATGAAACAGAATTTCCTGAATGTATCCAGTGATTCAAGAGTTATAAGAAATTTTCAATAAGTTTTTATTCACAACTGAAAATTCTGACTAAATATTTTGTCCCCCTTTTTTTTTTTTTTAATCCAATAAGAACTATACATCAGTGTTTAACTGGAAATACTTAATTCCAATAATCATAGATTTACATCTAATATATATTTATATATAACAGGGCTACCAACAAGATATGAACAATATCATAAGAAAGCCCATAAATACATCTGATCTACTGAGCATATAGAAAAATATTTATGTGAGACCAGATAAGTTGTTTAATGGGGGAGAGGTAAGAATAAAACATATTCGAACTGTTGTATTTAATGTATCAAGTTTTGGCTCTCTTTATAACTATATACAAAGTGTAAGAAAGCTGACTTACACAAAAAAATATATATTAACATAAATGCAACATAATTAAAATAAAAACAATTTCTTTAAAAAATATTATTCAGATTATTCTTGAGATTGCTATTGGTTTTGGTAATGAAACCACTGCTCCCTATTAATCCCTAATAGTAATATAATGGTTATTCATCCCTGGTTATTAATAATGAGAGTCATAACCTTAAACTCAATTCTTGATAAAAAAAAAATTCTAATTTCCATATTTATTGTTTATCAATTCTCCATATTTGAACCTTGGAACTTTAGCCTGTAAGACAGGGGTCTCCAAACCAGTGCCTCAAAGCTACGTAACATCTTGTGAGCCTGTAGATAAACTTATGCTAACCTGTTCTGTAACAGCAATCATCATGACAGACTGTATGTGCATTTCACAGGATTCCTGTTCTATAGGTTTCTAAAAATAAAATATATAAGTATTAGAGAACCGGATAGCCCAATGAATAAGGAACTGAAAAATATAGGAAAAACACAATTTGGTGCTCTCCTTCCCTACTTGACTATTAACCTATAAATGTGCCCTCAAATAGAAAAAGGTCTGGGATTCCTGCTGACAGGAGTTAATGATATTATAGGAATTATATGATTAGATATAGTTATTGTGCCTCTAAGGTCTGTATTTCTTTATATGTAGCTTATTATTAGCCTCATTTAAATAGTATTATGAGTGGTGAATGGAATCTGAGAGATTACAAATGTAAATAAAGAAGTAAATTGCTGATGACAATGAGGAACAGCTATTAGTCAAAGAGAATAGAGATTTGGTTTTTTATGATTATTTGGGAATAATGAGAGAGAAAGTCTGAATCACCCTAACCAAACAAGTTGGTATTATTCCGGTTGTGAATCATCAGACCACATAAAATAATGCCTCAAGAGATGCAGTTATTATCAGAGGAGATACTTCTTGATCTCCTCCTACAAGAAGAATCGATCAGATACACGTACACGAGAAGGCTTGGCAGGGATTATGGAGGAACTTTGATAGAGAATTAAGGAAAAATATAATAGATAGAAGGTAATATTTCTAGAAACCACCATTCAGGATTGGACCATATCGTAAGTTACTACAACTAAAGGGGCTAATCTAAAGAAGTTTTCATCCACAGTCCAGTGTAAATTAGGAGGAAAGGAATGAGCAGAAAGTTTTACTCAAGGAAGTTATTAAGCTGAAAGTTGGCTAATCTTTTTTATGGTTTGGATAAAATAAAGTTTTCCTGGATCCATCAAATTCGTTTTACATTGAACATCTTTTAAGATTCTGCGATTGCATACTACAAAATATAGTTAGCTCCTGGTATCCTCTTTTGTTTTCCCCACTTTATAGATGGTTACTTCGTGTACGAAGGACCATCTGCTGAGTGGTTTTATTTGATTTATCTTTTGGTTTCCTAGGTACTCTCATGTCTCTTGTTAGCAAGTCCCTATAAAAATCCTATAGATCTTCACTCTCCGTTCCTTTATGCATTCTAAATACAAGATCTCAACCTATTGACTTATATACCCATCTTAAAAAGCTCTCATCATATACACTACCTGCTTTGGAATTCTTTATCCACCACACTTCTTTTAAATAATACTTATTCCGTTTTAACAACTTCATCATCCCCTGCAATGATCTAGGAATATTTATTTCTATAGTAACAATTATTACTAACAGATAATTGACACAAATGCTTTTATAAATATTTAGCTAGATTAGTATTAATTAGGTGCATGAAGTCTGACCATAGTAATTATTTTTATGAGAATTTTGTTCTAGAATTAAATTGTTTTTTATTTTGGAAGTTCTGATTAGTTCTTAATTTTGGCAGTCAGTATGCCGGACCCGTTACATATAACCAACAGACCAATAGCATTTATCCTCTTATTTCTTGTAATTCCTTATTAATAAACAATACTATTAGAATCTGTCTTGTGTAATTTACAAGTTTTTGACTTTACTTATATTTCTGCTTGCATATTACTCTTGGTAAAATACCATTACAAGATAAGTCCAACACCAGAGAAAAGTCAAACACTAATTTATTCATTATTGATCTTAAATATATTAAATACAAATTATACACTAAAATACAAATAATGTAAATATATATAGACATAACAATATATTAACAATGCTTAATATAGCAAAAATAGTGAATTACAGATACATTATTAAAAAAACTTATTACATCACAAAACTTAAATATAACTGGTGCATGAAAACTTCGAACATTTAATATATAAATTTTACATGTATAATTAACGATTGAGTTCTTGAATCAACCGAAACCTATTAACCCAAGCCTTCTTATAATCTCGTATCTAACTTAATCTAACTTCCCATTTAATTATTCCATAATTTCTTCTCTATATAAATTGCTTTTGGCAAACCATTTTAGCCTTAACTCTCTTAATACAGGACAAATCACCAAAAAATGAACTAAATTTTCCCTCTGTTTCATATTTCAAAGTGTACAGAGTCTGTTAGTCCAACATATCTCCTGTAATTAAGGTATAGCAACTCTCCTTTTACCTTACAAATCTAACTTATATCCTTTATACTCAAGTTATTATTTATATATGTTATATGATGATTAATTTATTTATAAATAAATGTTTATTCAGAGGATTGACAATGTAGATTCTGGTCCTGAACAAACTGCGTTTCAATGATTATCAAACAAATTTTGGATATTTTTATTTGTTAATAAAAGGCATGTTTGATAATTTGTTAAGAGTGAATTAACATTTTTATACCAGAATGACTTATATTGAACAACTTCCCATTCAGGCAAGTTGATCCAAAGGTGCCCATCCTCCCTTCCCCATGGTCGATGACACAAGATCCTTTCTCCTCCCCTTTCTAAGATATTATATTTATCTCCTCTTCTTAATAACTGTGCAAACAAAAGTAAAATTTAAAAGATTGTAGATCATATACAATTACACTTGCTGTGATCTGTTCCCTGTCTTTCTCTTGTCCTTAGTTTAGAACTTTCCATTCCAAAAATTTATGATCCTGCCGAAATGTGCCCCCCTCAAAAATTTAATATCCCGTCAAAATGTGCCCTCCTCGAAAATTTTGATGGTACAACTTGCGCTATGAAACTCCCTTCTGGGCACCCCTGAGTTGGTCTGATGTCTGTTTTTTTTCTTATAACTGAAGATAATGAAGTTTATCTTTAAATTACATTCTCAGAAGCTATAATTAGAAAACTGTTCCATTACCAATACAAATAAGTTTAGAAGTTTTTCTATGATTTTAGGAAACTCATCAGACATGACAACAATATCATCTGTTTGTTCTTAATTATCTAACGATAAATAGTTAACTTAAATAGCAGTTCTTTAATAGGCCTGATGGGTGAAAATAAATACAGAATTACTAATTATTTAATTTAAATAGCAATTGACAAATTCGTAATAATGCTTGTCATGACACCTGTTTCAATAGAATAGTTCTGTTTTTAAATATGTTTCAAGTTACAACTGTTACCAATTTAATTACACACAAGTGTTTAGTTTTTTCATGATGAAGATGGAATTTTCGGTTCCTTACAACTTCTCTAATCTGGAAGTCACTCAATTCAATTACTTGTTTCATTGTTCTTTTAATGTATTCATTAATTATAAATTAACCATGAATATTTTGTCATCAATGGTTTCATTAATTATGCAATTACATTCAGATTCCATTTTAATTAAAATTACTGTTTCCATTTAAGTTTTGGTTGTAGTAAATTTACATTCTACTGGCAATTCATTAGTAATCCAACTGACAAACGGTTTTTCAATAACTATATCATGAACACAACCTTTGTTCATTTTATTATTATTTATTGATAATTTGCTAGATGTGAATACATTGACTGTAGTAGCTTTTCTAGTTTTATTTAGGCTGTTTGTAATCCAATTGATCTTAGGTGTACCAAATATATATAACTCATGTTTTTCTGGACTTGAATTTCCCTGTAATTGATACATTATTGGTATATTAAAAATGTCATTTTGTTTTTTATCTAGTACGTATTTACTATCGATCGGGTGTAATTGCTTTCTGTTAGTCGAGTTTAATAAAGAATAGATACTCATTATGTCATCCATGTCAAGACTGTTCTCTTGAGGTTTGCCGACAAAGAAATGTGCTTCATTTGAGTAACGCCGTCTTTTACTTGGCATTTTTAAGAGGAGGTAATAATGCTTATCTGGAATAATAGACTTTCCTTTATTTTTCACATTGTTTTGGTCAGGAATTTCAGAGGTACTAAAATGATCCACTTTGTAATACGCAGCTATGACAAACATTATTAGAATGGAAACAAATTTCATTTAGTCTGCTTCATATCTAAAACACATGTTTTAGATTGGAGCTTTTCTTTATCAATAGATCTGAATGAAATATATTATGTTCTTTGTTACAAAATTTGTTTCCATCGAACGTATTTCATAGTGTTAATCGAACCGTAAATAAATTCACTTGAGGTATCTTTTCATTAAACCTTTATTGTTGTAATGTATTGGTACCA